ACAAAGCTCAACATAATAAAGGCCATATACAATAAGCCCACAGCTAACATTATGCTGAAAGTTTTCCTTTAAGATCAGGAAAAGACAAGGATGTCCATTCTCACCACTTGTATTCAGCACAGTACTGGAGGACCCAAGATAAAGAGATAAAAGGTTTCCAAATTGGTAAGGAAGAAGTTAAACTGCCACTATTTGCAGGTAACACAATATTATACATAAAAAACCCTAAAGACTCCACCAAAAAACTATTAGAATAACCTGATTCAGCAAAGTTGTGGGATACAAAAATTAATACACAGAAATCTGTCACATTCCTAAAATACTAACAATGAACTAGCAGAAAGAGAAATCAGGAAAACAATTCCATTTACAACTGCATCAAAAAGAATAAAATACCTAGGAATACACCTAGCCAAGGAAAGGAATGACCTGTACTCTGAAAACTATGACACTCATGCGAGAAATTAAAGAAGACACAAATAAATGAAAATCTATCCCATGCTCATGGATAGAAGACTTAATATTGTCAAAATAGCTATTCTGCCCCAAGCAATTTACAGTTTCAATGCAATCCATATCAAAATACTAACAGCATTTTTCAGTGAACTAGAGCAAATAATCTTGAATTCATATGAACCACAAAACACCCTAAACAGCCAAAGGAATCCTGAGAAAGAAGAACAAAGCTCGGGGCATTACACTCCCTGACTTCAAACTATACTACAAAGCTACAGTAATCAAAACAGTACGGTACTGCCACAGGAACAGACCCATAGATCAATTCAACAGAATAGAGGGCCCAGATAAAAAGCCACACATATATGGCCAATTAATATATGATAAAGGAGCCAAGAATATACAACAGGGACAAGACAGTCTTTTCAATAAATGGTGTTGGGGAAAACTGGCTACATGCAGAGAATGAAACTGGACTACTGTCGAACTCCACAAACAAAAGGAAACTCAAAATGGATTAAAGACCTAAATATAAGACATGAAACCATAAATGTCTTAGAAGAAAACATAGGCAGGAATCTCTTGAACATAAGATCAGCAATCTCTTTTCTGGACACATTTCCTTGGGCAAGGGAAACTAAAGAGAAAATGAACAAGTGGGACTACATCAAATTAAAAGCCTTTTCTACAAAAAAGAATACCATCAACAGAACAAAAAGGTAGCCTACAGTATGGGAGAATATATTCTTAAACAATTTATCCAATATGGGGCTAACATCTAAAATGTATAAAGAACTCATATGTCTCAAAGCCAAAAAAACAAAACAACCCAATTAAAAAATGGGCAGAGCACCTGAACAGACATTTCTCCAAAGAAGAAAAACAGACGGCCAACAGGCACATGAAAAGATGCTCCACATCACTAATCTTCAGGGAAATGCAAATCAAAACCACAATGTGCCATCACTTCACCCAGTCAGAATGGCCACTATCCAAAAGACAATAAATAATAAGTGACAACACGGATGTGGAGAAATGGGAACCCTCCTACACTGTTGGTGGAAATGTCAATTGGCAAAACTACTGCGGAAAGCAGCATGGAGGTTCCTAAAAAAACTAAAAATAGAAACACCATACAAACCAGTAATTCCATTTCTAGGAATTTACACACGGAAAACAAAATCCCTGATATGAAAAGATGTATGCATCCTTATGTTTATCACCACATTGTTGACAACAGCCAAGATATGGAAGCAACCTAAATGTTCATCAGTAGATGAATGGATAAAGAAGGTGTGGTACATATACACAATGGAATACTACTCAGCCATAAGAAAAAACAGATTCTACCATTCGAAAAAAAAAACATGGATGGAGCTAGAGGGTATTATGCTCAGTGAAATAAGCCAGGTGGAGAAAGACAAGTACCAAATGATTTCACTCATATGTGGAGTATAAGAACAAAAGAAACTGAAGGAACAAAACAGCAGCAGAAGCACAGAACCCAAGAATGGACTAACAGTTACCAAAGGGAAAGGGAATGGGGAGGACGGGTGGGAAGGGAGGGATAAGGGTGGGAAAAAAAGAAAGGGGGCATTACGATTAACATGTATAGTGTGGGGGGAGGCACGGGGAGGGTTGTGCAACACAGAGAAGACAAGTAGTGATTTTACAGCATCTTACTATGTTGATGGACAGTGACTGTGAACGGGGATGTGGGGGGGACTTGGTGAAGGGGGGAGCCCAGTAAACATAATGTCCTTCATTTAATTGTAGATTAATGATACCAAAATAAAAAAATAAATAAATGACTGCATAAGATGTGGTATACACAATGGTATTCAGCCACAAAGAAAAAAGAAATCCTGCTATTTGCAACAACATGGATGAACATAAAGGACATAAAGGATATTATGCTAAAAGAAATAAGCCAGGCAGAGAAAGACAAATATGATTTTACTTATTTATGGAATTTAAAAACAAAACAAAAGAAAATGAACAAAATGGCAGTAGACTCACAGACACTGAGAAGTGACTGGTGGTCACCACAGGGGAGGGTTTTGGGAGGGTGGATGGGTAGGATGAGGGGAATAGAGGAGCACAAAAATTCTCAAATGATGTAAACTACAGGCATGCTTTTGTAAGCTGGGGGCACATGTGGTGGTGTGTGTGATCTCAGAGCTGCCCCTCTGACAAATAAGATTAAAATGCTCAAATGGTCATGGGGATACTAGTACAGCATGGAAAATATTGTCAGTGATTCTGTAACATATTCCTATGCCGACAGGTAGTAACTGCACTAGTGAGGGTGAGGATTTAGTAACGTGGATAACTCTTGAACCACTGTGTTGTATACTTGAAACCAATATAAGATTGTATATCAATGATACATCAATTTTATAAAAATGTTTGACAATTGTTAACCTCAAAATTTCTGAGACTTGAATATAATGTATACCATGAATCCTCAAGACAGGACAAGTGAGCAGCACTTTCCAATTTTATATGACCATCAAATCCTGTTTATATTGGACCATCTCAGTGAAGCAGTTTTCTGTAGAACATACTTGAAGGGGAAAAAAAAAAACTCTGACTATATGTTCTTCCTAGATTCCTATTATTTGCTTGAATACAAAATCATAAGACACATTTACTAGATGAGGAATTTTTTCACATCAGTATTTGTTTTGTAAGGTTTGTAAGCCATTTATAGATAGTCTATTACAGCTCTAAAATAACATGCCTCCAAATCTGTTAAGCCCAGATCACTAACATATCCTCTTTCCAAAAGGCCTACATGAATACCTCATCAACAGCACAGAAAATGAACACTTAGAATTTTATAGAAGTCAAATACTCTTTTGTCTCAGGTACAGATATTTGTTACAATAGACAGAAGAAGCACTTGTCTTGCTGGTTCCACAACAGTTAACTTGTCATTTGGGCCAGCAAGAATGAAAGAAAGACTTCTGCCATGTATAATTTTATTGTCTAACATCTAACACTAAATACCGAACAAAATTTTGTTCCTGATTAATACAAAAGATCTTGAAATTAGGAGGCAGCAACCTGAGATGGAACTGGTATAGGAAAAATACAGACACCTGAAATTAACGTTGGATCAATTATACCTCAATTTAAAATAGAAAAAAGAAAAACATGGTAATGTTCTTAAATAATAACATCAGCTGAAATATTGAGAGAGAAGTGGTTATAGAATTTAATCTTAGTTCTATTTTTATAGTGCTTTTATGAATGTTATAAAAGATCTGGTAGAAACTGGTGGCAGTGGCAACCAGTCCCCCGCTAGTTCTTGGATCTTCTCTTACAGCTGGTAGAGGATTAAAAGGTTTGGCAATGCGTTGCATGGACCAAGACTGATCACAGTCTTCTGAGCAGTGGGTAATAAACCTGCTTACAGAGATTACATCTGAAAGTTCATTTTACAACTCTTTAGTACTAGACGATGTAAACTGCAGGCATGCTTTTGTAAGCTGTGGGCACAATGTGGTGGTGTCTGTGTTCTCAGAGCTGCTGACCAAGACTGATCACAGTCTTCTGAGCAGTGGGTAATAAACCTGCTTACAGAGATTACATCTGAAAGTTCATTTTACAACTCTTTAGTACTAGACGATGTAAACTGCAGGCATGCTTTTGTAAGCTGTGGGCACAATGTGGTGGTGTCTGTGTTCTCAGAGCTGCCCCTCTGACCAAATGAGATTAAAATGCTCAAATTTTATCTATGCTACATCACAGACAGTCTCTTCTGGAGAGAGAACAGAAACTTCCTCTGCAAGGCCATGGGAATTGGCAATATAAGGCAGGGTGGATAAAGCTTCTTACTGGTGAACAGGTCAACAGCAAGCAACATGGCATCTATGTGGAACATGATTCAAAACATTTTAAACTAAGACCACTCATAATTTCTTCCTTGCATGCCTGTGATAACATAAATTCTAAAGTACTTCAACAAATTCCTGATGTTTTCCATCTTAAAGTAGCTTACATTTTATAGCTCCAGTGACCTGCAGAAGCAGCCCCAACAGCCCAGCTATACCTCTACCTGATATATTTATCCCTTCTCCCAACTTTTGGAAGAATAAGGTTACTTACAGTGAAACAGATTCTCCGAATATCTCGGATTCTCAGATATGCACACTAAGTCATACTGGTAATTATGGGTAATTTTCCAACAGCTCTTAAAAACTAGCAAGGGGACAGAAGCCCAATACTACCACCAAACTCACCCACCTTCACACATGTTCATTGACAGAGACATCAATAGCAACAGTGAGTTCATACATAAAGAACAAGTGAGGCAAAGGCAAAAGCAGTGTCAATGTGTCTGAGTGTAGGCGATGGTGCCTTGATTATACCCGTACAAACTCTTCAGTACCTTGCAGTTATCTCCAACTCAGCTCTTAAGCCATAGATTTTTGCTGTAGAGAACTCAGATGTGATGTAGCCACTCCAGGACCTCTTTTCACAGTACCACACATCAATACTGGGAATGGTTTCTAATCAAGTTAAACTGCACACAGTACTTTAATAGAACAAGTTTATTACTCCCATTCAGTAGTTCCTGGGGGCTTTGATGTTAAGTCATACATAATTCGAGAAATACCAGGAATCTTCTTAATCTCAGTGACCATCTTTAACACCACCTGTTATAAAACAAAGATTAAAAATAGAATAACTAGGATCTATGCATGTCCATTAGACCTAGAAGGCTTGCATTTGCAATTAAAATCTAATTTTACTACCATCCTCTATGTATATGGGATGATGTCTGATTAATTTTATGTAATGAACCTATTTCCCTCTAGAGATTCAGGTGACTTAAACTCAGTACTACTCAAAGTGCAGTCAACAAACAGGTGCCAGTCTGCATTATGTTTGTTAATGGTCCATAATAAGTTTTTAGAAACATTTATGGTAATTTAACATTACTGTGCCATTGAAGCATGTGATCTCATGTGTTTAAGTTAATGCTTCACAAATTATCTGTGGTTTATCCACACAACTCTCAGGTCACCAATGTAGCATATAATACACTGTAAAAATCACCACTGCCAAGTGTACAGGAGGAAAAGACCTGGTCACTTGACCAGGAAAATCTGAGTCTAAGGAAAAACAGAACTAAACAACATTCCCAACCCACCTACCCAGCTATAACCCCAGCCTTGTAATAAAAGTACAGGTGCAGTGGTCCAACTAATAAAGTCTTGTTTTGATTTTCATTTGCTATTATGCAAATAGCACCTTTGGAATACTCTAGTGGAGAGATAATTAAGAGAGGGAGATGGAGGTCAAACATGGAATTGGTAGTAGGCAGAGCATTAAGCAATTCATGAGGATCTGGTCATAATGCCATCAAATCCCATTCTTAATTCTAACATATTCTTCTTCACTTCTTCTTTACTTGGAGAATACTATTTATAAGGCAGAAGTTGGCAAGATTAGATAAAATTAATTTGAGTTGGTTACTCTCACACAGTAATCTGACATCTGGAGGGGTGTAATAAATTTAAGGTGTTTTTCTATTACAGTGTATTAAACAATCAATTATGTGGAGATAAAGAAAATAGGAGCCTATCTTATGACCCCAGAAATATCAACATTGTCATAGCCTATTCCATTTACCCTATTATAAAATGTATGAATTATTGGAGGTGTACATTAGCAAAAATATATATAAATTACCTCTACAGGGATCTCACTGCCAGGTGTTGCAGGTATACCAGTCATGAAATCACTAGTAATGAAGGTTCGAATAACCACAGATCTCTGGCATGAAGGCTGTTTTTGAAGTGGGTCCCGATCAAAATGTAATGGTGTCAAAATCACTGGCATCTGGCTGATTTTCCCAGCATATCCTAGAGAAAGGAAGTTAACATGTAGAACCAACCACTACACCATGGAAAAGCACTCTAACCAAGTTCCACTAAATCCCAGACAATATCTAAAATCACAGGCATTCACATACCACAGCCAGGCCTGTCGTCATGTACTGTTTTTCAGCTACTCTCATCACACTGTAAATCAACTCAATCACAAAGAGAATTTGATGACTGCAGCGATATAAAACTGATTCTCATTATTCATGGTAGTTATGACCTACACTGCAAATACTGAATTAGTAAATACTGAACCACTGCCCCTAAGGGAAATAGATTCCTGCAAGCCTCTGGTCACAACATGGTCAATCACCAATCAATATACAGCTTTATAGGAATTTACCCAAAGGAAACAAAATCTCTGATTTGAAAAGATATATGCACCCCTATGTTTATCGCCACATTATTTACAAAAGCCAAAATATGGAAGCAACCTAAGTGTCCATCAATAGGTGAATGGATAAAGATGTGGTACATACACACAATGCAGTATTATTCAGCTATTAAAAAAAAGAAATCCTGCCATTTGCAACAACATGGATGGGTCTACAGGATATTATGCTAAGTGAAACAAGCCAAGAGAAGAAAGACAAATACCATATGATTTCACTTATTTGTGGAATATAAAAATAAAGCAAAACAAACGAAACAGCAGTAGACTCACAGATACTGAGAAATAACTGGTGGTTACCATGGGAGAGAGGCCAGGGTGGGTGGGTAAGGTGATGGGGATAAATGGGTATAGAAATTCTCAATCATATATATAAAATTGGTCATGGGGATGGTAGTGCAGCATGAAGAGTAGAGTCAATGTTTCTGTAACATCTTCCAATGTTAACAGATAGTAACTGCATCAGTGGGGGTGAGGATTTAATAACATGGGTAACTGTTGAACGACTGTGTTGTGTAACTGAAACCAATGTAAGATTGTGTATCAATGATACCTCAATTTAAAAAAACATAACTTTGTTTTATATGTGCTTCTGTTTAAAGAGACCTTATTTAATACTTATTAACACTGAATGCACAGCCAACAGTTCTACAATTCACACATGGTTGCAGTTTATCTAACCCATGTATGTTCTCCATAAGGCACATTACAGCCCTCCTGTGCTTTGGAACATAAAACAGCATGTCACCACTATGCTTGCAGGACACGTTAAATAGTAAAATCACCCACAAAAATGCAAAAAATATGGCACTAAATAGACTGCAAAAGGACATACTTGATTACAGTAAGAGAGATGAAACAACAGGGTAGAGTATAACCTTGTTAAATCTGAGCTGGGAACATGTGATTTGGGCAACTCAAAATTTCATGCTGTATTGCACATGTCTGCAAATGACCACAAAGGTGAGTAAACTTTATACAGAAGGCAGTATCGTAGAACTATCCATAGAAATAATAAACATGAAATCATCCAAAAATTAAAACTTGCATCCTCCTACTAGAAGTCATAATGCCAAGCTTCCAAATTTTCGTTAGAGCATGCAGTGATAAACAGAATGAGCAACGTACCAGACTCTCTGAGAATATTATGGGCCTCAAAATCAGCTTGGCGTAAAGTACTGAGCACTCCTGTTGTCAAGAAAGTGGGTGTAACATCTGTAGGAGGTTCTTTAACTGGTGGGCCAAATAGATAGACAACTCTAGAAGGGGAAAGAAAGAAATTACAGAGAAATTACATTTTAGTATGAGAAGGAAGGCACATAGAATAACATTCTTTCTATTGAGTCTTAGGTCCTTCTTATACCTACTTCAAATCCCAAATGGAAGGATAGGATATAAAATTATAGAAGGGCCCATGTTCCATGAACCTTCCTCAAAATGAATTCTGTAGTATACTAGTATCTCAGAATGTGCAAAGGTATATGTGATTTTCACAATCCTCTTTTCATAAAATATATGAAGGGCATCCCCCATATTTCATGTCCATCTGAAACTACAGGTGAAATGGGGTCTTTGCTGATGTAATAAAGTTAAGATGTAGCCACGAAGGATCAGGGTGGACATTAATCTGATGACTGGTGTTCTTCTACGAAGAGGGAAATTTGGAAACACAGAAACATATACAAGGGAGGGGCCATACAAAGACGGAAACAGAGATTGGAGTTACACTGCCACAAGCCAAGGATGGCCAGCAAACACCTGAACCTCGGAAGAGGCAAGAAAGGGTCCTGCCTTAGAGCCTTCACAGAGGATGGCCCTGCTGACACCTTGATTTCAGACCTCAAGCCTCAGACCTGTGAAACAATAAATTTCTATTGTTCGAAGCCTTTCGGCTTGTGATATTTGCTATGGAAGCCCTAGGAAATTAATATACATAAACCTAGAGAAACAATGAATTGAACAAATAAATAGGCTGTTTTATGACAGAACTCCATAAACTGTAATATGGTAACATACACTAGAAACCTCCAAGATGAGATTACAGTAAATTTCCCAAACTTACTTGACCACTCAGTCTTTTTCCCCCCACTTTGGGGAATATCAATCCCAAGGAAAAATTTTCATTTCTACTTTATAATAAATTGTCATCAAAATAGAACTTGGTATACTACTATTTCCTTCCAAAAAGAATGACTTAGTACTGACGTTAAAAGTATCTGTTTGAAAGATATGAAAATACACTGCAGGTTAATAAAAGTAGGGTTTGGAACATAGTTTGAAGAAATTAGGATTAGATAATGAAAACAACTAAAAGGGCATCTTACTACAAGGTTTACAGGATCTTTTACACAGCTCTCACCCAGAAAATGAGAGGTAGTCAGGATACAGACATGAGTGCCACCCTTCTCTCCTCACTCCAACTACAGCCAGCAGACAACCATCTCTTTTCCTTAGCTCTGTCTTTGGCAAAGAAAATAAATACTTCTTGGTAACTGCCATGGTGAACCTTAATAATGGTTTTTCTTTTTTCTTAATATGTACTTGGAACAAAACGTAGAGGAAAAACAGCATCAGATCAAAACCACCACTACCACCAACTACTTCACTTCTTTCTTCCAAATATACTGTAGCAGGAAGATTTTTGTCCCATGCATAGGAAGTAAACCACACTTCTAAACAATATAGTTCCTAGAGTTCATAAACTATCCTTAGAGGAAAAAGCAACTAAGCAAAAGAATGCCATGAATTTCTCTTTTTATTTTTTTTCTTACAGACAAGAGTGATCATAGAATGCAGAGGAATACGTATTATTCCACTCTGTATAGAATAAAACTGGAGCAGTCCCTCTCTGCCCATCACGCAAATTAAGAAAAAAAAAAACTTGCAAAAATGGGGGAAAAATGTTAATTTTAAATTCCAATTCCCAAAAAGCACCCTGAGCAAAGAAATCTAAAATTCACCAAGACTCTCTAAGGGCTTGCTAGGTTCACATTTAAAACTCTCTTTTTGTTTGTTAGACTGTTTTTCTTTTGGGGGAGGGTGGAAGGGTTACAAAAGGAGAGAGAGAGACAAATGAGGGGGGTGGTTGGCAGGAGGGGTGGAGAATAGACAATTATCACAGAGGAGGCAGCATATAAAAGGACAGAGATAAAATTTAAACAAGGGTGAGTGCCCTTTGGTAAAATAAAAAAAAAAAAGAAAGAATGATGAAACTCTAAGAAGGTTGTGAAATGAAAATATGCTAATTATATAAAGAGCAGTAGAGTCAAACTTAGGAAAAGGGAGTTTTCTGTATGACCTATAAAGGCTATTTAGGTATTAGCATTCTCCAGATTAATTATGAACCATTATTTTAACCAAGACAATATCTTGATTTGAAATAGGCAATTACAAATTTACTATTGTTTATTAATGACTTATTTTTTTTGGTATATTAAAGGTACTTCTATATTAGGGTCTTTAGGTTCATCTGAGTAAGCCTTTTAATGAGCATGTTTCCAACAGTAAAAACATGGTTTCCCTGTGACTCCTTGTCGTACCAGCAGGCAGTTATAGAACTACACACACCCTCCTAGGTGAATACTTACAGGTAGGTAATTTTCTAATTTCTGAATCAAATGTGAGTAAACTGAAACCTCAAGTAATTCTCTTTGGTTGTCAACTACCCATGAAGAAAAAAACTGAGGCGTAAACAATTGTAAAACAAGGACATTTAATTAGCAATCTGGTACTATGCAAATGAGATTTTTTAACCATATATGGAACAGTGTAATTGAGTATTACACATAGATTGCAAATCAGCAGTTAATATATCCAACACAAGAAATCAATGTGCAAATGAAAGGCAAACTGAATCTGAAAAAACTCAATTCAAAATAAATTATACATGTATTAATGACATCTGGCATATGCCTATTTCTTTTCTTTGATTTTCCCTGGGATTTTTATTAATCAAGTTCTTATTGATAATTCTATAACACGTATATATTTTTTTCTATCCTTCTGGGACAAAGCATGTTACCATAAAACCAGTAACAAGCGAACCTGCTAATTTGGAAGACATGTGTCAACACTATTTTTAATATTTTATACTAAAATTAAAATCCTTCCTATTTTTTCTTTAAACAAAAAATGTTTTTTTTTTTAAGTTAGCAGATGCCTGCATTGTGATGAAGGAATAGAACACAAGATATTATTCAATATCTGCTCAATTTGACTAAGTACATCCCTTAACTACACTTGAACCTTTAAGTCTCCATATTGAGAATAGTAGAAAAACCTTAAAAAACAATCCTTCCAGTTACAAGCCTTACCCCGTTTCCACAGAACACACCTGTTAATGTTGTGACACATGCGAGGTATAAGCCTAGCCAGGAAAATAAGAGATTCCCAGTCAGGCTCATCTTTACTGGAGATTCCACATACGTAACTATAGGAACGACAGTCACCCTGAAAATAAAAAATACAGTTCATAATATTTGATGGTTTTTATATAAGTTAAAAGACAGACTGGAAAATATTTCATGCATGGTGACGCCATTAGTAGTGGTTTTGTTTTTTAAACACAAACATGTTTGAATAACAGTACATATGGATATTCCTCTAATAATACAAATGACTCCTAAATTAAAATCCCATACTAAATTCTACTTAAATCAGTTCAAACATAAGGTGTCATCGTAATGTAAAGAATTTATTCAACAAATGCCAGAAAACAGAGTTAATTTCTTTCCACACATAATTCTAGTATGAGAGGCAATAATAAACATATTAACCCAATAATTGGCACTCGTAACATTTTTAGTTGAACTATAGACACCTCTTTTAGTTTTCATTTAACTACAAACTCTAAATAACAGAAAAGATACCTCCTTCTTCCCTACCCTCCCAAGTTTTTCCCCAGAAACTCATAATACAAAGGAGAACTTAATATAATTTATAAATAACATTTTAAAAATGAAAACTATATTATCCTCACATGCTTTTATAATTACAAAGACAGAACAATAAACAAAAAATGTCAGTTGTACATTATCACAGCTAAGAGGCAGAGGACATGAAGAGGCAGAGGCACTGGTTTAAGAAAATGCAAACTAAGAACAAGACCTAAATAGTGTAACATGTTCATCTGGGGGCTATCCTGCAATTAAAAACTTCTAAAGCCACAGTATATTTTCACACAAAGAGGCAAAAATATGGACATAACCTCTTGGTACCTAGGCTTCAGGGCAGAAGCAAGCCAGCCAATGCTACAGCAAACCATTCTTTGAATTTTTACTCTTGGTTAGAGATGGCAGATGTTCCAAAACTACAAAATCTCATCTGAATATTTAGTTCCTATAACCTTATTTACTCCATAAACTTTCTATAAAATATTGCCTTTTTACATTTCTAAACTTATCTATATACTTTCATATTTCATTTTCCTAAGTCCTATTTCCTATTTCAGTATTAGTAGAAAGAACAAACCGCAGAAAATCATGTCACAGGTCAGGGAATTCACACAACTCACCTGCACACCTACAGTTTTAATTGGCAGCAGGAAGGCATTTAGTGAATGAAGACTTGTAATCTGCATCAGCTTCTCTTGATCCTCCTCTGTTGTGCAGGCTTTGACTCTTTGTAATAGTGTGTGTGGCTGAAAAAAAGGGACATTTTTTAAGATTTTAAGAAATGAGGTATACACTCTTTTGTGAATCATTATTACTGCCTTACATATCTATATTTATTGGATTATAGCAATAGATCCTATTTGGTATTTCTCTTTGTATGTGCTATGCAGTATATCCACAATTTCATTCCTGAATGCTTGGGCTATGAAAAGTTAAATATCAGAACAAGAAATACAGAACAGATTTACATACAAGGCTTTAATCCTCTGTCACCAGCAAGGGACACACGTCACATGGGTCAAACCCTCTCATCTCTAATAAAACTTCCTGCTATAAAATCAATTTTGTTTGAAACTAATCTACCAGCACCTACTTATTTTTTGGTTTATTGACTGGTCTATGTTTTTCCATTCTTTTAGTTTTCCTCCTTTTACCCCTGTGTAAACAGACCATAGTTAAATTTTACTTTTCAATCTAGTTTGATAATCTAGTCTTAACTGGAGAAACTAGTCTTTAGTTAGTTGTGGGTTAATGGTATCACGGATTTTATTCTAGCACTTTGTTCAGTAGTTTGTATTTGTTCCACTTTTAATGTTTTCTCCTTCCTTACGTTCTTCTGAACTGATTATTTCTCCCAGTTTGTTTATTTCCCCTTCACTGGTTTTGAAGTTACACTCTCTATTTTTGTTCTCTTAGCAGTGCCTGTAAGTGTTAATACAGATACTTAACAGAGTCAGTCTCTCTATCCTCCTGGCAAACAATACAAGCATTTTTTAATGCTTTAACTCAAATCAATCCCCTTGTAACTTAAATGCTATTTTAGTTATATATTGTTAAAATATTTTTGCTAAGTACCAAAAATAAGAGATTATTTTTATTATACAATCTTTGCTTGTTTCACTTCATCCATTTACCATTTTCTTTGCTAATCATTCCGTCTTGTATCTCAGACCTTTCTTCTGGAATCATTTTGCTTCGCCCACAGCCAGGCCTTTTAAAAGTGGTTGTCAACCCTAGCTATATACTTATATAACTTGGTATGTTCAGGTCCCATCCAAGATGAAATAAGAAATTCTAGGGAGGAGCCCAAGCATATATACTTCAAAAGCTCCTCCAGATGATTCTAATACACACAGCTAGGGTTGAAAACCCCTGCCTTAGCTCCTTGAGTGATGGATGATGGTAGTAAATTCTGTTTATCTGAAAGTCTTTATTTTGTGCTAGTTCTTAGAAGACAGTTTATCTGTTTACTATGGCTCACAATTTTTTTCTCTTGGCACTTTGAAGTCTTGCTTTTGCCATTGCTTAGAGTATAATAAGTCTTTCCTTTGTAGAGTAATGGGTGTTTTCTCTGCAGGGGCTTTGGCAGTCCACAGGTTTGCTAGGTATGGCCACTAGGTGTCAGATTATTTTCCATCATCCTGATCTGGATGTGTGATGTTGGCTGATGAGGCATGGTACCTTTCACCAGTACGGAAAAATTCAAATACTTTTGCCTATTATCTCCTTCTAGACATATGCTAAAATTGACTTTCTTAATATCTATCTTCAAATTCACTAATTTTCTTTTTAGCTGTTTGTAATTTCAGTTATTTTCATTTTTAGAAGTTAATTTTTTTCAAAGATGCCCATTTTTGATAGTCTCTTATACACCTTGGTCTTATTATCAATTGCTTCTTTTAATTCTATGTACTTTGTATTGTATATCTGCTAATTCCAGTAGAAATGTTTGAGGGTCTTGTTCTGCTATTTTCCACCTGCTCTCATTCATGGTGCCTTAATACTATATATATTTTATAATTTTTTATTGTAAGTTCATATCTGTTGGAACTCTATCTATGGAAATTCTTTGGGGCCCAGTTGAAGATAATTTACATTATTTCTTGCCTGAAACCTGGAAGGACTACCAACCGAGATCCAGTTTAAATTAGAATTCTTGGCTTGTAATCTTTCAGATGACATAGATTATGGATTTAGGCAACAAATCTACAAAAGGACTGGGAGATTCTTCCACTCATCTTCCCTTACTTTCTTATAATACATATAAAGTACTTTAAAACACCTTTTCATATCCAGCATTTTTTAGGTGTTCAGGGTATCTAATCTGTTGCAAGGCTGGAAAGAGAAGTCTACATTTAATAGTCTGTAGAATATTTCTTCTATAGTTCTATCAAAGGTTAAATTACTCTGAATTTTCAAATAATGAAACTCAAATAAATTAATTATAGTACCAATATACAAGAATCCATTCAATTCCTTGTATTGATAAGCTGTGTCTATTTAAATCTCCTATACTATACAAATTCAGTGCAAATTATTACCTTTTTAACACTTGCGGAAAAATCAGCTACTATTTTCAAAATATTGTTGGTTTCAGGAAAGTCCTTACAAATATAAGGTTCTTCAGCACATATTACCCTGATTGCCAGGCCAGGACCTAAAGAAAAGAGTAACAGTGGTATTTAATATAAGTTTGATTTTAAAAAAATTTAACATAAAAATGTATTTCAAAATATAAAATCCTTCCAAAAATTAAAATCCACCTGACATCGTAAGTTTTCTCCAATTTTGAGGTATAATTGACATATAACCATTGTAAGTTTTTTTAGTATTTAATTTCAAATATAGCTATTAGTTTCTCTTCCAACTCATATTTCAGAATGCCTCAATTCTCTTTACAATAATTTCTCCTACCTTTTTATAGTCCTTGTATTAAGTGTCACAAAATTCCCCAATAAAATATTTTTAATTCACATTATGTGCTCATCTGTTTAAAAATTTTAAAAAGAGAATTTTCAAACATACACAAAAGTAAAGAGGTCATGGTAATGAACCACCTTATTATTATTCATTACTCAGGCTCACCTCCTGACCTGATTTTAGAAGAAGAGTATGCTGTTTAAAAATACAAAAAAACCAACATACAATGAGAGTGTTTACTTCTAAAAGATATGAACTGGTATTTCTATTACACCAAATACTTGAAAGGATAAAAACACAAGATACATGGATCTAAGAAAAAAGGATTATGTTCCTTTACTAGAACAACAGAAAAGGTATCCCTTGAGATGCTTAGTTATATACAAAATCTTAAATATGTCCCATTAATCCCTTGGTTTCATTCCTCATCTTCAAACAGCTTAATATAAGTAGTGCACCTATTTTTTAAAAGCAACTAAATTATTTTTGCTAATGGATCTTACATAATAGAAATCCCAACACATAAAATAAACTTCAAAAAAGTTACATGACCTCTGTTAAATGATGACCAAGATACAGGACCACTTGGCCTCCCTCCCTTATATTCACACACAATCCTTTGCCAACAAAAATGTTAAGAGACTGAACATCTTAATTACTAGACTTGAAGTTCATTGTATAAACAGGGCTTATCACCACATGAGTTATACCTTTGTGACACTGTTTATGGAGGCAATATAGTAGTAAAGTGCACAGACTCTGAGGTGAGATTATTGGGCCTAGAATCCTACCTCAAAACCTAATCTGCCTAACTTTTAGCAAATTAGCCTCTGTCCCTAAATTTTCTCATCTATAAAACAAGATATTATAGTAATTTCTATTGTGAGGATCAAATAAGACAATATGAGAAATTAATATATAACAGATGCCTAATGTATATGAGTAACTCAAGAAATGTTAACTATTATTAAATATTTTAATTTAATTAGACCATTCTCTCAACTCATCACCTAATGACTATTAGAGAGCTAGAAACTGAGGTGTAAAGCTCGCCCAAGCTCAAGAACTCATAACAGGTTACAACTCTTAGTTCTAATTTTATAAATAAATACCATCACTAATCAATTATTTTTCTATATGACAGTAAATGAGTTTTAAGTTTTCATGAATTAGTTACAATCAGCATTATGCAAAGAAGTGGTTCATTTATTCAGATACATCAGTCATGAGAATAAGGATTTCAGAGAACTAAGTTCAGCCCTGTCTTCCACGGAATACATCATGGTAGTAGAAAGAATATACAAAACCCAGCTGTAACACTAAGAATTCTGTGACAGTGTTATTAAAATATCTCTGTGCTGTCTGTTTTTTTCTCATATGATGGCAATGTTATATGCCAGACTTACAGGGATAGTTTAACACTTACATAAATAACAATGAAAAGTGAGTATTTAATAAAATAAAGTATACATAGTAAGTACTAAAAGAATATTTATTCCCTATCAAAACTTTTCTGTCAAAATACATATTCCCTGAGATTTCAAATTATTTAAAAATTATCTGAACTGGTTTTTCTTCAACATGAAGGTCTAATGACAAACAATTTAATTCTATTTTATACCTGGAAATGGATGCCTGGACACTAACTCTTCTGGAAGTCCAAGTTCTCTGCCTAAAATTCTTACTTCATCTTTATGAAAATCTTTCAGAGGTTCTATTACTTTCCCCTATGGGGGCAAAAAGTCAATTAATACAAATTAGCAACTAAAATGACATGGAAAACAGAGCAATGAATTAATGGCTTTTCCTGTTGTCTTTCACCTTAGACTAAAAAGTCATTTTTGTATTGAAGTATTTTCTCTTAAGCACTTATAAAAAATTAGATGACTATTTCAGTGATATAATTTCTGTTTGAAACACATTTTAAACATAACCCTTTTAAACATAAATAAATCAGGGCACTCCTACCCACTATCTCTGATCTAGTTCTCATCAGAATACAAGATAGTTAGAAAATATCATATTAGTGTTTCAAAATTAAAACTCTCCAAATGATAACATCAAGAAGGTAAAAAACAACTCACAGAAGGCAAAATCATGTATTTGACTAAAGATTTGTAATCAGAATTTATAAAGAACATTTACAAATTCAATTAAAAAAGATAAACCAACTTAAAAATGGGCAAAAGATCTTAACAGATATTTTTCCAAAGAAGATAAGACATATGGGGCCAATAAGCACATAAAGATGATCGACAGCATTAGCTATAAGGGAAATGCAAATCACAACCACAATGAGGTGCCACTTTGCATCCAATAAGATGCCTAAAATAAAGAGACAGAGAATTCACACCCATTAGGATGGTTACAAAAAAAAGAAAACAACAGGTGTCGGCAAGGTGTGGAGAAATGGGATCCCTTGTGCATTGATGGTGGGATTATACTATATAGTATAACTGCTATGGAAATATTAAAGAAATACCTCAAAAAATTAAAAACAGAACTACCATATGATCCAGCAATCCCATTTCTTGGTATATACACAAACGAACTGAAAGCAGGGTCTCCAAGAGGTATTTGTAAAACCATGTTCACAGCAGCACAATTCACAATAACCAAAAAATGGAAGGGACCCAAAAGCCCACTGACAGAAAAATGAATAGACAAAATGTATATACACATAGATGAGAATATTATTCAGCTTTAAAAAAAAAAATAAATCTTGTCACATGCTAAAATATAGATGAACCTTCAGAACCTATGCTAAGTGAAAAAAGCCAGCACAAAAAGACAAATACTGTATATGAGCTACCTACAGGAGTCAAATTCACAGAAACAGAAAGCAAAATAATGGTTACCAGGGTTTTGGAAGAAGAAGAAAAGGACAGCTGTTGTTCAATGGATATAGTTTCAGTTTTACCAGTTGAAAAAGTTATGGAGATATGTTTTACACAATGCAAACATATGTAACACTACAGAATTACACACTTTAAAAGGGGTAAGGGAGGGAGAGAGGGGAAAATGCTTTATGGGAAAGCTCTCCTAAGTTTTTACCTCTTCTCTCAGCTTTCTGATAAGCTCTGTGTCATTGTGATGAGTTTTGATGAGTTCAGCTTTTCCACTTGCAACAAGGGATGCACTTTCAATTAGATCAGGCCGTAAAGTACCTTGGGCAAGAAAAACCTCCTCTGGTTTCAGGTTCATTTCTCCAATTACTTCATTAGCAATCTATAAACAACAGGAGGTACAACAGCCTCTTAAGAAATGAATTTTTTTAAAAAGAAAAAAACAGGACCTTTTATACTTTCAGCTAAATTTCCCAGAGTCCTTTTGCAATACTGACCAGGATGTGAAATCCACCAACTCCCAAAATAAACTCCTTTAAGAACATATGCTTTAACATGATTCAAAAGATATGCAAACATTCCCTTTAAGAGACTGAAAACTAGTCAATGCAATACCCAAAGAACTAAAGTCTAATATCAAATGAAAATACCTATACTTAAACAGTTAAAACAACAGTCTGGTGACATAAAATATGTATGTTCTTTAAAACACAGAACAGTTTCTACTAGTCAGTGTAATAGCAATATATACTAAAACTCTGCTCAAAAAATAATTCAAATTAATCAGCAAATTTGGCTATAGGGTATAACAAGGAAACCCAAATACTAAAATTCACATCAAAAATAGGATACATTAAGGATAAAAAGATACCTTAACAAAAGTATCACCAATGATTTTTCTTTTTTCCTCAGGACTTGTAGTCATATTTAATGTTTTGCTAATTCTTTTTCGTGGAGTTCTGTCTTCATCTGATATTGGTAGAGTTGTTGTTCCATTGTAGAATGAATGAGCAGCGTTTATCACTGAGGAAGAGAAAAAAACATGTTGTAAACTAATAAGTTCGTTTAAAATCATAAATAACAGGTCAAACTACAGAAAGAAAACCTAGTTAGATCTTTTGATTCCCCTTAATTTGCCTATATATTACAGTACTACAAATCATAATTGTTAACAGAGTCCAGGCACAGGTACTCATTAAATTTTGTTCTTTTGAGACTCCAGGGGCATTTAATGATCTAGAGCCATGATATCATAAATTATGCTGGTTAGTTTCCCGCTATTCAGTGTGCTACCAGGGCAAGAGGCAAACAAAAACTGCAGCAAGTAGCACAGCCCCAGGGAAGTCAAAGCAGTGGTTCATATACGGAGATCAAGGTCTCCAGAATTATACACTGACTAATGTCTTAAAAAAGTGATGTATGTGAATGCATTTTTAGTGATCCTTGGCTTTTTAATATTTAAAGAGCAAGGTACTTAAAAATCGACTAAGATCTCTTTTTGGTAGTAAGGCTGAATAAGTGGTGGACTTCACCATATGACAAGGCAGCTGGTTATTTCAATGAGGGACCACCAACACCAGTGAATCTGTAGGTCTTTCTCTTAAGCTGTCACTTATCCCACAGATGACACATCCAATCTCCTGCCATCAGCTTTCTGGTAGAGAACACATGAGGTGATGGAGGAAGGGAGTCACCATTCAATATACAGATTTTTACTTAATTCTAATGTTTTTTCATGTAGAATTTTACTTCCACCCCCAACTACAACTGGTATTAATATGCCGAAGTCCAAGTCTCTCTTGTTTAGCCTCTCCAGAGGATAAATCCACAGTCTTCTGATGCAGAGGGATATCAACAGTTTGGTTCTGTGTTAAGGAAAAGGATCTGTTTCTCATATTTTCAACCAATCTGTTTTATGTTCACACCCAGAGAACCATGCCCCACAGGGAAGACAATATTTCCAATTCCTGAGCCTCCCTAAAAGTCTTGCTTTTCATTGACTCCAGCACTCATTACCCCACCTCAAGATTTTGGAGTCCTTTATTCTACTCTATCAGTTACTAGGGACAGATGCAGATTTTATGGAGCTGAAACTGTACAAACTTCTACAAACTTTTCTCCAAGAAAAAGAATAACAATGAGGTATTTTAAAAATCACCAGTTAGTACGAACTTACCTATACTGGGACACAACTGTGTAAGTTACATATATACTACTAAACACAAACTAAGCGTATTCCCAACTCAACTTTCCCTAGGCCTAATCCTAAAATGCCTGCAGCTACTCCAACATAACCCAAAAGAGAATAAGAGTGGAACCACAAAATGTACTTAACTACAAATTGTTGAAATATCTTACTCACAAACTGCACAAAAATATGTGACCATGTAAAGACCACTAGGGTACCTCCCAGGACCTTGGAAAGGCTTGGCTAGTGAGGAGTCCTGAAATTTAAGCTTCATTAGGTTATGATGGAAAATCTACATTATTCATCTGCTTTCACTTCCAACATTTGTTAAAACCATTAGCTTACTATCATCTCCTCTATTCCTTGTCCTTGAACCTTACACTTGGTTTTATGTCTGTGCTGTTATTTTGGTGGTTTCAAAAAGAGAAAGAAATAGACTCATCTTAACTTCATATTTAAACTACAAGCCTTCATATTACATTCAATATTTTGGCATCAATTCCAATTAATTCAATAACATGTATGGTTGTATCATTAAACTACAGACTTGATTTCACTATAATTATTAATTATACCTTGTTTTTAAAAAGTATAAAAGATATCCACAAATGTAAATGCAGTTAAGGCCTAAAAAGTTTACTAGTGGACTTTCAAAAAAAATTACTATACTCTTAACAAATAAGGCATAGAAGGAACATATCTCAACATTATAAAGGCCATGTATCACAAGCCCACAGTTAATATAATACTCAATGGTGAAAGGTTGAAAGCTTTTCCTTTAAGACTGGGAATAAAACACGGATGCCCACTCTCACCACTCCTATTCAACATAGTACTGGAATAGAAGTCCTAGCTAGAGCAATCCAGCAGGAAGAAAAAAAAAAGAAAAAACAAAACAATGAAAAGGTATGAGAATTGGAAAGGAAGAAGTAAAATTATTTGCAGAAGACAAAATAATTTTATATACAGAAAACTGTTAGATCCAACAAATGAATTCAGTAAAGTTGCAGAATACAAAATTGGCACATGAAAATCAGTAGCATTTCTATACACTAATTTTCTGAAAAATAAAGAAATAGATCCCATTTACAACAGTATCAAAACAATAAATACTTAGGAATAAATTTAACTAAAGAGGTGAAAGATCTCTACTATGAAAGCTACAAGATGTGAATGAAAGAAATCAAAGGCACAAATAAATGGAAAGGTATCCCATGTTCATGGATTGGAAGAATATTGTTAAAATAGCAATACTACCAAAAGCTATCTACAGATCTAGTGCAGTTCTTATAAGATTTTAATGGCACATTTTATTACAGAACTACAAAAAAAAAGCTCCTAAAACTTATACAAAATCAAAAATGACCCTGAAGTGTCAGAGAACTCCTGAGAAAAACGAAGCAAGAGGCATTACACTTCCTGATTTCAAGCTGTACTATAAAGCTAAGTCATCAAAAAAAGTATGGTACTAGTTTTAAAAACAGACAAATAAACCAATGAAACAGAATCGCCACGCTGTGGTCAGCTAATGTTTGACAACAGAGCCAAAAATACTCAATGGAGAAAAGACAGTCTCTCCAATAAATACTGCTGGGAAAACTGGATAATCTCACATGTACAAAATGAAACTGAACTGATATCTTACAACAATCACAAAATTTAACTCAAAATGGACTAAAAATCTAAAACTATGCAACTCCTAGTAGAAAATAATAGGAATAAAGCTCCTTGACATGGGTCTTAATAACGATTTTTTTGGGATATGATGCCAAAGCACATGGAGCAAAATAAAAAATAAACAAGTGGGACCACATCAAACTATAAAACTAATCAGCAAAGTGAAATAACCTATGGAATGGGAAAAAATGTTTGCAAACTATGTATCTGATAAGTAGTTAATATCCAAAATATATAAATATAACTAAATAGCAAAAAAAAAAATAACCCAATTAAAAAATGGGCAAAGGACTTGAATATGCATTTCTCCAAGTGTATGGAAGGCCAACAAGTACATGAAAAGATGTCCAATAGTTATTAGGAAAATGCAAATTAAAATTACAGTGAGATATCAACTCCAATGTATCAGAATGGTCATCATTAAAAAGACAAGAGAGAACAAATTCTGGCATGGATATGGAGAAAAGGGAACCCTTGTGTGTTGCTAGTGACATTGTAAATTCATACAGCCACTATGGAAAACAGTATGGAAGAGCCTCAAAAAGTTAAAAACAGAACTTCCATATAATCCAGCAATTCCACTTCTAGGAATATGTCCAAAGAAAACAAAAACACTAACTGGAAGAAATATCTGCACACACACACACCCCATGTTCATAGCAGTATTATTTACAAAAGCCAAGACATGGAAATAACCTAAGTGTCCGCTGATGGATGAATGGATAAAGAAGTCATGATATATATTTACAATGGAATATTTCTCAGCCCTAAAAAGCAAGGAGATCCTGACATTCGCATCAACATGGATAGAACTTAGAGGCATTATGTAAACGGGATAAATCAGACTGAGAAAGACAGCTACTACATGATCTCACATGTGGAATCTTAAAAAAAAAAAAAACTCATAGAAAGAGATCAGACTATTGCTTAACAGAGGTGGAGGGTGGGGGGAGGGGAAATCGGAGGAAGGTAGTCAAAAGGTGCAAACTTTCAGTTATAAATAAATAGTAAGGACATAATGTAAAAACATGATTATAGCTAACACTGCTGTATGATAAAAGGAAAGTTGTTAAGAGATTAAATCTTACGAATTTTCATCACAAGATTCTTTTCCCTTTCTTTCCTTTTTATTACTTCTATATGTAAAGATAAATTATAGCTGAATCTGTTTTTGTAATTACTCCACAATGTGTATAAATGAAATCATCATGCTGTATGTCTTAAACTTACATAGTGATGTATGTTAATTATTCTCAATAAAACTAGAAAAAGTGACTATTGACTTTTCACTCCTCTTCTCTGTATAAGTCTGTTTGCAAAGTAATTTTTACCTCTTGTAAGAAGGCTTGGATATTTTCATGCATAAATAGTATTATGAATGTGAAAAGGTAACTTAAAAAAAGAGACTGAGTAGAAGACAACAGAATAATAGTTCGAAAATGGTAACATGACCTATATATAACATTAGCAGTAATCAACAGTTTTAAAATTTATACTGAGGGACCCCTTTTGAACCAGAAGTAATTATTATGTAAAAATAAAAAACATTTTCAACTGTGAGCTTATTGGAAAAATGGTACTTGGTTAATAAGGTCATGTGCTCACTTAAACCATAATGTTTTATTTGATATGTTAAACAAGTCCTAACATGTGAATTAACTTTTCTGGGGTTTATAAATACCTTTGACCTGAATTCCAAGCTTTTTGAGGGCCTCTTCTACAGACTGGCTTTCACGTTTTCTCATAAAGCCATTATCAATGTGCACAGCAATGACTTGATCTTGATTCAAAGCACGATTCAGCAAAGCTGTACAAACTGTTGAGTCTACTCCACCACTGAGTAAAACCTACAAGGTGAAATTAAAGAAAAATCAAATTGAGTGACATAAGCAACAATAAATAAACATTATCAGCTTCAATCATCACCTAAAAAGAGTTTTATATCAAAGTTCTGTATGGATACTGAAAATGCATTCTGAAACACTGCAACTCACAAAGCACAGGACTACCCAATCAACATTTTGGGACTATGTTGAGGAAGACAGCTCTGAATTCTAGTATTATTGACATAAATTTGTTGACTTTCAGATGTAAACTGCTTACCAACACTTTCGATGTGCCTACTCTCTCCTTGATCTCTCGAATGCACTCCAGTTCTCTGTTCTGCACAGTGAATGTCCCACTGCACCCAGCAATATCATAGAGGAAATTCTTCAGTATTGCTTTACCATTTTCTGTAAGGCCAACTTCAGGGTGGAACTGTGCTCCATATAATTTTTTAGATTCATTTGCTATACCTTTTTAGAAAAAATAATCACAAATTTAAATTCTTTCATGTTGAAAAGAGTCAACTAGTACCCAATTAGTAGCCACTCTGTCCTAACAAGTGAAAAGCTGACTACTGCTCTCAGCAAGACTGGCAGGTGAATACACAACTTACCAGAGCAGAAATCATGAGTGCAAACCTCCACAGGAACCAATGCCAAGATAGCAGAACCTGAACTATAACCAATGAACTGCTGGAGGCTCACTATCATACATGAAAATATGATAGTACCACTATCATACATGAAAGTTGACAGTGAATATCAGAGAAAAATCCCTGAGCAGGATAAATACCACACAAATTCCTCACAATTTCTTCCTCTATAAATGCGAAAATTGATACAAATTAGTACATTTTTAGCTATAGGGGAAAAAATACATAATATAAATAAAAACTACATTGCCATGATCTTTCTTTTATAAAGGTCTTTATGTGGCAACTATTAAACTATAAGACAGTCAAATAATTCCTAAAAGGATTATTTTCCACCCAGTACCCTCACTTCTCCACCCAGGTTACTTCAATTGTTGTGTCTATTTAATGCAACAACTCAATTTTGGTGCTTAGTTCCATATGGTTTTCACATGCAATGTGCAGCTACCAATTTTTTATATTAGAAGAACTTAGTATATATTAGACCTCCTGTCAGAATATTCTAAGTGTTTCTTTTTTGAATACTATTAACCACAATATAACTTCACTGACTTAACGAATGTTTCTTTTTTTAATAATATTCTTTCTTTTAATATTGAGGTACATACAATAAAATGCACAAATCTTAGTGTACAGGTTAATAAATTTTGATGTATATTTACACTCATGTAACTATCACCCAGATCAAGATTATCAAACATTCTCACTAATTTCTTCCCTATTCTCACTACTTCACCCATCCACCACTCTTTTCCCTATGGCAACCAGCAGTCTGACTAATGTGTTGCTGACAAATTACTATCTACTAAGCAGCAGATGTTAGGCTAGATGTTCTATACTCTGCTTGCATTACCTGTTTTATACTCTGAGATAGCAACAAGGCTTACCTGAACTCACAGCTAGTTTAGTTAAATCAGGCCAGGTAAGCTCCCAAATTCAATCTCATTCTACTATACCAAAGAACCTCACACTTTCTTTACTTGGCTTCAAGAACAACACTCTCTCAGTTCATTTCATATTTCCCACTTTGCTCCTTCTCAATCTTCTTTGTTGGTTCCTTCTCATCTTATCCACCTCTTATCATACAGGAAAGTTGCCCAGTGCTCATCTTCTAAATCTCTTCTTTATATAAATGATCTCTAACACTCATGACTTTAAATTCTACCCATATGATATACACCCCCAAGTTTATACCTCCAGCCCAGTTTTCTCCGCTACAGTCCAGACACATAGACACAAAAACTGCCTACTCACACCAGCATTTCTTGACTTTAACATGCAAAGCCAAACTCCTACATTCTTTTCCATCAGGTAAATAGGAACTTTATCACTCTATAGTTGCTCAAGTTAAAAAACTTGGGAGTTAAAACTCGATTATACTCCCTTTCCCACTACACATGTAATCCCAAAACCAAATCCTTTGTTTTTCCTTTCAAAACATATTATAATTCAATCTAACTTCCAGTTTCTAGTCTGGCATGTAAGCAGATAGAAGACGCCACTCTGTCCTAACAAGTGAAAAGCCGACTACTGCTCTCAGCAAGACTGACAGGTGAATACACAACTTATCAGAGCAGAAATCATGAGTGCAAACCTCCACAGGAACCAGTGCCAAGATAGCAAAGCTGAACTATAACCAATGAACTGCTGGAAGCTCACTATAGACAAGTCTGAGAGAGAAAAACTCCAGAAGGACCCAGTTACCAGAGGCCCCAACATTTTTGTGAATTTTACCTCTGGGAACTTGACAAAGTTCTCACAGTGAATATCAGAGAAAAATCCCTGAGCAGGATAAATGCCAAAACTACACATAGGCATATCATTTTCAAACTACAGAAAATCAAAGATAAAGCAAAAAATCTTGAAAGAAGACAGCGGGGGAATAAAAACCTTACCTACAGAGTAGCAAAGATAAGAATTACATCTGACATCTCCTCAGAAACCATGGAAGCAAGAAGAGAATGGCATGAAATATTTTAAGTATTGAAAGAAATATACATTCTTCTCAAGCACATATGGAATAGTCTCCAGGATACTTCATACATTAGGCCACAAAACAAGTCATAATCAATTTAAGATTAAAATAATACCAAGCATCTTTTCCAACAATGGTAAGAAACTAGAAATCAATTACAAGAAGAAATCTAGAAAATTAACAAATATGTGGAGATCAAACAACATGCTTCCAAAAAAGCCAATGGGTCAACAAAGAAATTAAAAGAGAAATTTTTTAAATCTTGAGACAAATAAAAAGGGAAATACAATGAAAACTTATGGGATGTAGAAAAAGCAATTCTAACCAGAAGTTTACAAAGATTAACAACTTTGTCAAAGAAATGAAATAACTCAAACAACCTAAATTTATGCCTCAAGAAACTAGAAAAAGAAGAAACTAAGCCCAAAACTAGTAGAGAGATAAAATTAAAAAGATCAGAATGGAAATAAATGAAAGTAACAAAAAAATAAAAATAAAACAGAAAAGATGAACAAAACTAAGAACTGTTTTTTTAAAAAAATAGAAATAGAAGAAAAACCTTTAGCCAGACTTGCTAAGGACAAAAGAGAGGATTCAAATAAAATTAGAAATGGAAGGGGAGAAAGTACAACTGATAATATGCAAATACAAAGAATCATAAGACACTACTATGAACAAATAAACCCCAATAAATTGGATAACCTAGAATACATACATAAATTCCTAGAAACAGATAACCTACCAGGACTGAATCATTAAAAAAACAGAAAATTGAAAATACCAATTATAAGTAAGGAGACTAAGTACCATCCAACACCAATTAAAAGATATCAGGAGTAGCTGTATTAATGTCAGAACAGACTTCAGCCAAGCAAGGTTATCAGGAATAAAGAGAGGCATACATAATAATAAAGGGGTCACTTCTTAAAGAAGACATTATAATCCTCAGTGTGTATGCACTTAATATCAAAGCATCAAAATGTATGAGGCAAAACTGAATCACAGGAAGAAATAGACTAAAAGTTAAATAATTAAACTATTGTTGGACACTTCCGCATACCTCCATCAGAAATGGATAGACCCAGCAGGCAGAACATGAGCAAGAACTAGCTGCACTCAACAATACCCTCAGTCAACTGGAAACAATGGGACATCTACAGTTAGCTTCGTCCAACAGCAGCATACACATTCTTCTCAAGCTCACGTGGAACATTTACGAAGGTAGAAAATATTCTGAGCCACAAAATAGCCTAACAAATTAAAAAGAATAGAAATGCATATGTCTCATATTCCCATTGTGGTCTGAGAGTAAACTAGAAATCAAGAACAGAAAGACAGCAGGAAAATCCAAAAATAAGCAGAGATTAGACACACTTCTAAATAACACATGGGTGAAAGAAGAAATCTTGAGAGAAATTAATCATTTTGAATTAAATGAGAATGAAAACACAATTTAATCAAAATTGGTAGGATGCAGCATACAATATTGTGATTTATAAGAAATATATATCTGGTTGGATAGTGACTGCAGTGGGGTATGGGAGTGGCTCGATAATATGGGTGAAAGTAGTAACCACATTGTTTTTCATACAAAACCTTCGTAAGAGTGTATATCAATGATACCTTAATAAAAACAAAGAAACACACAAACAAATATATATATCTGGTGTTCATCTAGGGTTGCTGATTCACAGCTCCCAAAACTTAGGAATTTCCTAAGACAAGACAGCTTAAAATTGTCTCTTATGTTATGTTAATAGGTAACTTTTGAAATACCCTTAAGGATGGGAGTTGGTTGCTAGGGTAGTCAATTGTGTGATTAGTGGGTTGTAACTTTCAGTTTCACCTCCCTGACCTCCAGGGAGGAGAGCTGGCAGGAGGCTGAATGAGTCACCACCCTGCAATGATTTAATCAGTCTGCCTTTGTGATGAAGCCTCCATAAATGGCATTTAGAGAAAGTCTACATTGGTGAACACATGGAAGTTTGGGGAGAGTAGCATGCTTGGAGAGAGAACCGAGGTTCCTGGCCCTTTCTCCACACCTTGCTGTATACCCATCTCTTCCATCTGGCTGTTCCTGAGTTATACCTTTTATAATAAACCAGTAAGTAAAATGTTTCTCTGAGTTCTCTGTAAGCCACTCAAGCCAATGAATAATCAAAGCTGAGAAGGGGTTGTGGGAACCTCTGATATTATAGCCAGCTGATCAGAAATACAGGTAACAAGCAGGGCTTGCACCTGAAATCTGAAGTCCAAGGTGGGGGGTCCTTAGAACCTCCAATCTATAGTTGGTCAGAAGCATAGGTGATAATCTGAGCTTGCAAGTGGTGTCAAAAGTGAGTGTAGGGAGGTAAGGGGGAGTATGGTCTTGTGAAACTGAGCTCTCAACCTGTGGAATCTGATGCTATCTCTAGGTACATAGTGTCAGAATTGAGTTGACACTTCTCAGACACCTTGCTGGTGTACAAGAACTGTTTGTTCGTGTGAGGAAATGCTACCTCTCCCAACTCCCCGCACATTGGAAACTGGCCTCAGAACACCAAAAGACAGCAAAAACAGTGCTCAAAGGGAAATTTATAGCACTGAATTCATAATTAGAAAATCAAGAAGATTTAAAAATCAACCATCTAAGCTTCCACCTTATGACATGAGAAAAAGTTGGGCAAATTAAATCCAAATAAACAGAAGAAAAGAAATTATTAAAATTAAGAGATCAATGAAATTGAAAATAAGAAATAAAGAGGAAAAAACAAAATCAAGAAAACCAAAAGACAGTTCCTTGAAAAGACAGTATCATCAATAAGCCTCTACCAACCTAAGGAAAAAAGAGAGGATGCAAATTATTACTAATATCAGAAATAAAAGAATGGACATAACTATAGATCCCATGGACATTAAAATAATAAAGGAATAGTATGAACAATTCTATGCCCATAAATTTTATAACATAGATGGAAGAATTATTAGAAAGACACAATTTACCAAAATGCTTACAAGAAATGGATAATCTGAATAGGTCTAAATCTCAATAGGCTTATATCTGTTGAAGAAATGAAATGATCATATCAAAAGGTACAGAATATACATATGAAAAAAACCAGTACCCATTCATGATTAAAATTTCAGTAAACTAGGAATACAGCATTTCTTCAGCCTGATAAAGCACATCTTCTAAAAACCTACAGCTACAATCATACCCAACAGTAAGAAATTCAAGACTTTCCAACAAAGATCAAGAGTAAGGTAAGGATGTGCCTTCTCCCCACAGCTTTTTCAAAACCATATTATAAGTCCTAGCTAATAAAATAAGAGAAGAAAAAGAAATAAAAGGTATACAGGTTGGGAAAAAATAAAACCATCTTTGTTTGCAGATGACACGATCATCTAAATTTGAAAGAATCAACAAAAAAAAATTTAGAGTAAGTGATCACAGCAGGTTTATAGGAAACAAGGTTCATATGCAAATGTTCACTGCTTCCTGTATACCAGCAATGAACAAATAGACTCTGAAATTAAAAACACAATTAACAACCCTACAAATGAAATACTTGAGTATAAATCTAACAAAATATGTACAGAGCTATATGAGAATTCAATCACTCCTGACCTCTTCTACCTCTACCACCCTGTTCCTCACACAATATATTGACTCCTCTCCTGGTCACTATAAGAGATTCCTAAATGGTCTTCCTGCTTCTATGACTCACCCTTTTTTCTCCTCACTGTAGCTAGGGTAATCCAAAAATTAGATCATGTCTCTCCTTTGTTCAAAAACCTCACCTCACAATGGCCTCAAAGGTCCTGTGCTCCTCTCTGACCTCATATTCTACTACTTTCCCCCATGCTTACTCTGGGGCAACCATGCAGACTCCTTTCTGTTCCTCAAACATGGTCCACCCTGGGAGCTTTATACTGCTATTTCCCCCAAATATCCAGAAAGATCAGCACTTCCTTCCTTCACGTCCAATATCATCTTATATGGATACTCTCCCTGAACATCCTATGTAAAACAGTAACAACCCTAAACACACACATCACACAAACACTCTTCTCTTCCCCTATTTATTTTTTCAGTGCACTTAAATACTGACACAGGACATATTCTGTATTTGTATATTCTGTCCCAACCCTCCCTAACTAGAATGTTAAACAGAGATTTTATGCATTTTGTTTATTAGTGTATCCTTGGCACCTAGAACTGTGTCTGGCATATAGTAGATATTCAAATAACTGCTGAATGAATAAAAATACATAAGCCATCTACCAACATTAATCTCCCAGGAATCAAAAACATTACAGTATGAAAACCATTCTTGATCATTCCTATACTAATGTATTAGTCTGTTAAGTAACTGCAGGTAGATTACTCAACTCAGTTTATTCATAACAAATCTTTTGTTCATTTTATTTGGGTGTGGTTTTTCAAACAAAAAGACCTTTATTGATAAACCCATTTTCTTTTCTCATTTCCAGGATTACTGGTGATTACTCACACTACAGTTATTCCAGTAAGCAAGTTAAAAATCACAAATTGCCAGAAAATCAATTCAAAAAAGTAGAGAATATGGCTTTAGAGCGTGAGTTTAAAACTTTCTACAGTTAGAGAATAAAAATCTTTGGCTCTGTAGAACACATACATACGGTCCCTGTTTTTTATTACAATCCTTTTTTAATATAAAAATCATTCTTAGTTCCCGAATTTACAAAAACAGGTTGTCTTAGTTCCTGAACATACAAAACCAGGCTAAATGGATTTGACCAGAAGGCAGTTTGACAACCCTGGTTCCGAGAAATGTCCTAATTTAGTCTGGTGTTTTGCAGACAACCAAGATACATGCCTAAGAATACCTAAGAAAGGCATTAAAAAAGGCAATTAAGAAAGCATGCTACATGGACAATTCTCAAATTTTTCCTGAGTTATAAAAGTGTAGTTTTGTCTTATGCCCGAAAAACTTTTATTAGGATGAACATTATTCAAAGTATTTCAAAGCAAACCGAAAGTGACTTCCAGATAATCCTCCAAATAAATTTCTTTCATAAATTAATGGTTGAGCTTATGACATTTATACTATCTTTTCTAAGAAAACCCAAAACAGTACCTCATACAGAATATATTTAGACTCTTAAAGTTTTTAAAAATGAACTCTACAAGTTTTAAGATTTTTACCTGCCACAATGTTCCCAGAACGTGCCACAACTTTGAATCCATCAGCTACTTTGTCTACACTATCTCCATGGGTAAGCAAAACAATTTCTTCCTTCTGAAGGCCCCTAAGCATACAAGAAATAAAACACAACACATAAAAATCTTTATTAAAAACATGATTAATGGGTTTAGCTTTACTTTTTCCAGCTTTACTGAGATATGAAAGACATTTAATTAACACTGTGTAAGTCTAAAGTATACAACATAGTGATTTGATCTACATATGCACTTAAATGATTACCACATAAGGTTAGTTAACACATCCATCACTTTTGTGGTGAGAACATTTAAGATCTACTCTCAGCAACTTTCAAGTATACAATACAGTGTTAACTGTAATAATCAGGCCTGTACATTAGATCCCTAGAACTTATTCATCCTATAACTGAGTTTGTTCTTTTGCTTAGAAATATTAGATTGCCATATGTATAAATCAAGAAAACAGAAAAAAGTATGTAACAGTGCAACATTGCTGGAATTTACTGTCAATAAAAGAATATTATTAAATATCAAAAAAGGTAACCTATAAAAATCTGAAAATCTCAAAACAAATATAAAAATGATGATATAACCACACCAAAAAAAACAATAATTTCAAGAGGCTATAAAATAATAATTTTAATATATCTCTACTGGGATTTATCTTAAGAACAGAAGGCATTTCCAAGATATGGAAGCAACCTAACTGCCCATCAGTAGATGAAGGGATAAAGATAATGGGGTACATATACACAATGGAATATTATTCAGCCATAAAAGAAAAGAAATCCTACCATTTGCAACAACATGGATGGAGCTGGAGGGTATTATGCTCAGTGAAATAAGCCTGGCAGAGAAAGACAAGTGCCAAATGACTTCACTCATTTGCAGCAGACTCACAGACTCCCGAGAAGGAACTAGTGGTTGCCAGAGGGAAGGAGTTGGGAAGGGTGACTGAGAAGGGAGAAGGGGATTAAGAGCCACTATAATTCACAATCACAGTATCAGTAGATCACAGGGAAGACAGTACGGCACAGAGAAGACAAGTAATGACTCCACAACATCTTACTACACTGACAGACAGTGACTGTAATGGGTGAAGGTGAGGGCTTGATAATATGGATGAATGTTGAAACCACAATGTTGTTCCTGTGAAACCTTCATAAGACTGTATATCAATGATACTTTCATAAAAAAAAAAAAAAACAGAAGGCATTTCAGTGATCTTAATACTTCATTCAGTAGTCTATATCGGTAAGTAACAGTACTACTAATAATATTGTTACTTTGTAGCTATATATATATATAAATACACGTAAGTTATGGGTTAAAACAAATACCAAATAATATAATTAGGAACTGAGATTTTCAGCCTCAGAGTAAGAAGACATAAAATCTAAAGAGGTAAAAACCCTACAATCTTTCATTTTAATTAGAAATAACAGTGTACACTAATGATTTTGTTTTCTTTCAAAAAGAATACATATCGCCTAACTCCTTCACCAATTTTTAAATAGTTATAACACCTAATCTATTATCATCTACCAATAAAATCAATTAGTACATTTGCTGTATCAAAAAGATAATACACCAAGCACAGTTATGCTCAACACAGAGAAAGTAGAGGGAAACACAACACATATTTAGTAATATGTAATACTGTATGTTATATTTATATATGTATAATAGTAATATTTAGTCCAACAAATTGGTAGTTTGCTAAGTACCCATCAGCAACATGGTCAGGGAAGAGGTATATAAATGCATTTGGTAAATGCAGGGCATTATTCATTTGCCTTACCTGGTACACTAATGTTTAGAATCACATTCCACCAAAGAGTGAAAAGGAAAAACTACAAATGTTGGGATCACAATATACAATCCCACAAAGGAGTCCAACACTGCACAGGTGCATGTTAATTATGTCATAAGGGCTTTCTTTACTTCTAATTACCATCACCACCACCCTCTGCTGTCTTGACACTAACTGAAATTATACCTTTGGCCATTACTGTGGCTTTAATTAGAATTACAGAATCTCCAGTTTTGAAGAATAACAATCCCAACTTTAAATAATCTACTACTATTCTTATTCATCTAAAAATATCTACAATACCTGAATAATGAGCATGTGTTATCCACACTAATACTGAAGACTCCATCTTCTCTAACACTTTTTTTGTGCACAGTTCCTCCAAATACTTTATTCATCATCTGTTCAAAGAGAAAATAAATCGATGTTAATATAAATCATAAGAAAATTGCCCATTTTCTTATGCTAATTTAATAATTTGTATTCCTGTTTTCACTATATGTTGTGTTTGTGCCCCCAAAATAAAAGGAGTTTCATAAAGGCAGATAACTTGGTGTTATCTTATATAATTATACAGTTATTAAAAGGTATAATTATAAAACAAAACTAGATTAGAAATTTAACCTGATGTTAATTCCTGTTAAACACAGGCAGACTTTGCATTTGATGTATTTTAAATAGTTCACCTGTTAAAAATAGAGATTTCCTTAATATTTACATGTGAGGTTTATTTAAAATCATTTAAAAAGGTATTATGAGCTTAGAAAAAGCTAAAGCAGACAATAAGAAGAGCTGTGATATTAAAACTAGACAGGTATAAATTTCTCCAAGCCATTTAATCTTTGGCCCCAAATGAACAGTCTGAAACCCTGCAAAAGGCTGTGCTATGAAAATGGGATAAGCAAGAAAATCTGGTCTTCCTATTAAATTCAAAATCCCCTAGACCTATAGACTCTTTTATTTCAAATGGAATCTTGATTCTGTCCCGCCTTGTGTCAATTAACCTTCTTTTCTTGTTTATCATTTACATTTGCCCAAAACCCCCTCCACCACCCAACATAAATACACACAAGATTTTCACAAATATTAAGTCTGCATTGATAGAATCACAACTCAACTTGCTATGTCTGTTCCATAAAAGGTGTCATAAGATATCCATCATACAAGTACCACAACGTAATAAAGGCCATATATGACAAACCCACAGCCAACATCATACTTAACAATGAGAAGCTGAAAGCCTTTCCTTTAAGATCAGGAACAAGACAAGGATGCCCACTCTCTCCACTTTTATTCAACACAGTTCTGGAGGTCCTTGCCACGGCAATCAGACAACACACAGAAATAAAAGGCATCCAGATTGCTAAAGAAAAAGTTAAACTGTCCCTGTTTGCAGATGACATGATATTGTACATAAAAAACCCTAAAGAACCCACTCCAAAACTACTAGATCTAATATCGGAATTCAGCAAAGTTGCAGGATACAAAATAAATACACAGAAATCTGTTGCATTCCTATACACTAATGATGAACTAGCAGAAAGAGAAATCAGGAAAAAATTCCATTCACAATTGCATCAAAAAGCATAAAATACCTAGGAATAAACCTAATGAAGGACGTGAAAGACCTATAATTTGAAAAGTACAAGACACTGTAAGAGAAGTTAAAGAAGATACCAATAAATGGAAACACATCCCGTGCTCATGGATAGGAAGAATTAATATTGTCAAAATGGCCACCCTGCCAAAAGCAATCTACAGATTCAATGCAATTCCTATCAAAATACCAATAACATTCTTCAAAGAACTAGAGAAAATAGTTCTAAAATTCATATGGAACCACAGAAAACTCTGAATAGCCAAAGCAATCCTAAGAAGGAAGAATAAAGCTGGGGGGATTACCCTCCCCCGACTTCAAGTTCCACTACAAAGCCACAATAATCAAGACAATTTGGTACCGGCACAAGAACAGACCTATAGGCCAATATAACAGACTGGAGAGCCCAGATATAAACCCAAACATATATGGTCAATTAATATATGATAAAGGATCCATGGATATAGAATGGGGAAATAACAGCCTCTTCAATAGCTGTTGTTGGCAAAACTGGACAGCTACATGTAAGAGAATTAAACTGGATTACTGTCTAACCCCATACACAAAAGTAAACTAAAAATGGATCAAAGACCTGAATGTAAGTCATGAAACCATAAAACTTTGAGAAGACAACATAGACAAACATCTCCTGAATACATATGATCAACTTCTTCCTGAACGCATCTCCTCGAGCAAGGGAAACAAAAGCGAAAATGAACACATGGGACTATATCAAACTAAAAAGCTTCTGTACGTTAAAGGACAGCATCAACAGAACAAAAAGGCATCCTACAGTATGGGAGAATATATTTGTAAATGACATACCCAACAAGGGGTTAACATCCAAAATATATAAAGAACTCAAATGCCTCAACACCCTAAAAGCAAATAACCCTATTAAAATATGGGCAGAGGATATGAACAGACAATTCTCCAAAGAAGAAATTCAGATGGCCAGCAGGCACATGAAAAGATGCTCCACATCACTAATTATCAGGGAAATGCAAATTAAAACCACAATGAGGTATCACCTCACACCAGTTAGGATGGCCAGTATGGAAAAGACTAAGAACAACAAATGCTGGCAAGGATGCAGAGAAAGGGGAAGCCTCCTACACTGCTGGTGTGAATGTAAGCCAGTTCAACCATTGTGGAAAGCAATATGGAGGTTCCTCAAAAAACTAAAAATAGAAATACCATTTGACCTGGGAATTCTATTCCTAGGAATTTACCCAAAGAATACAAGTTCTCAGATTCAAAAAGACATACACACCCTTAAGTTTATTGCAGCACTATTTACTATAGCCAAGATATGGAAGCAACCTAAGTATCCATCAGTAGATGAATGGATAAAGGAGATGTGGTATGTCATCAGCCATAAGAAAGAAACAAATTCTATCATTTGGCAACAACATGTATGGAGCTAGAGGATATTATGCTCAGTGAAATAAGCCAGGCAGATAAAGATAAGTACTAAATGATTTCCCTCATTTGTGGAGTATAACAACAAAGCGAAACTGGAGGAACAAAACAACAACAGACTCACAGACTCCAAGAAGGGACTAGAAGGGACTAGATATCCAATGGGGATGGGTGGGGGAGGGCAAGTGGGGAGGGAGGACATTTAAATTGAGGGGCATTACGACAGGCACACATGGTGTGGGGCGGTATCATGGGGAAGGCAGTGTAGCACTGAGAAGGCAAATAGTGACTCTATGGCATCTTACTATACTGATGGGCAGTGACTGCAATGGGCATGGGGGGGACACAATAATATGGATGAATGTAGTAACCACATTGTTTTTTCATGTGAAACCTTCATAAGAGTGTATATCAATAATACCTTAATAAAAAAAAAAAAGACATCTGCTATAACAATACATGATACAGGTTGACCCAGCCCCAACAGAAGAGCAGGCAGAGGGCTAAATAAATGTTCATTCTTATAATGCACAGTGGCACATTCTTCAACACCATCAGCAAATACTGCCCCCTATATTCTTCTCTTAGACATACACAATAAACCTTGCAATAAACGTTTGGGTTAAGTCCAGCAAGAAAAGCTTGCTGACCCTTGCTTGCACCTAGTAATCCTAAACTAAAGACTCAGACATAAAACGCTTCCCAAAGCACATTAACTACCATGCAGTTTAGGAAACATTGCTCCTGTCTAATCAGTCCCCTTGCCTGTAGTCTGGCCCATCTTCTAATCTATATTCTAGAGATCGGCCAATGCTAGGTACTAAAATGTAAATATGATTGTGTTAGTCCATTTTTAGTTTTTCAATGGCACCCTAGCATCTACAGCAGGGGGTGGTAAATTTTTCCTGTAAAGAGCCAGAGAACATATTTTTAGCCTTTGCAGGGCCTACTGTCTCTGAAGGAACTATGCAACTCTTGCCATTGTAGCATAAAACATTTATGAACAATACTTAAAGGAATGGATATGGCTGTATTCCAATAAAGCTTTAGTTATAGGCACTGAAGTTTGAATTTCACTTAATTTTCACAAGTCACAAAGATGTAATTCTTTTTTTTTTTATTTTATCCCAACCATTTAAAAAGGTAAAAACTATTCTTAGCTCACAGATCATACAAAAGCAGGCAGTGGGCTAAATTTGGCAATAAGCTGTAGTTTGCTAACTCTCTGTCCAAGGATGAAGTCCAAGTCCCTTATATTGAACAAAGACTTTTTTTATATGTACCCACTCTAATCTCACCTCTCATCTTCCTGCTCATTCTTTACTCCAGCTATCCAAGCTAGTGTAATTTCAAAAACTGACCATGTTTCCTCCCCATGTCTTCAGGTGTATTCACTGTCCCAGGTATCTAACAAAGTATGTGACCCAGAGCAGTTATTCAAATTTGCTGGATGAGAAATGAATGCTTTCTGCTATATACTCAGTGAACCTTGTGCATCTCTGCCTCTCCTAATTTGCTGTTCTTAATTAGAAGATAGCTGAATGGTCAACATAACCAAAGCTGTTGGAACTCAACATAGTTTAAAAGCCCACAAAGTCTAAGTTAAAGATTTACGCAAAGCCAAGGGCTTGCAGTAAAATTTAAAGCTATCTCACCTATTCAGAAGGCTTTCCTGCTTATTTTAGGTTCCTGACTATGCTAATTAAGGTTAAAAGTGTAAGAGGTTGACCAACCAGCTAAGTGTGTGTTTGTAAGAGGAGGGATAACTTTACATATTATAAAACAATTTACTTTCTTGTTAAATTTTTGTTTTAAATTGTATTCTATTTTGACTTAAGGAAATGCTTCTCAGTATGGATTTCTGATAACCCCGAAGTACCAAATACCCTGGAGAAGCCCAGGTAGTACTCCAGGTCTACCAACCCAATCAGATAAGTTTCTCTTTCACCATCTCTATGCCAACCTTTTACAAGAAGGTTTAGATTTGGGAGGGAGAAAGGAAAGGAAATTCTGCTAATAAAAATAATTTGACAAAACCTTGTGGGAGTGTATAAAGAAACCAAATGTATGTAATAAAGCATTCTTAGAATGCTTGGAAAAAAAAAAGAAACCAAATGAAATTTTAAAGCATGAAGAGACAAATCACAATCTATAATATGTAATTGGCAAAAGTATCCAAGATATATAACACAATAAACAGAAACAATGGGGAAAAATCATGAACAAGCTTTTACAATAAAGCATATACTAATGGCAAATAAACATAAAATCTTACAATAAGGAAAATGAACATCAAGACTACATGTGACCCCATTTAACACCTCTTCAGATATGCAAAACAAAAACAAAAACGAAAAACCCTGATCATACGGACAAAGGGTAGCCCTCCTACACTGCTGGTGGGAATGTAAGCCAGTTCAACCATTGTGGAAAGCAATATGGAAATTCCTCAAAACTAAAAGTAGAAATACCATTTGACCTGGGAATCCCACTCCTTGAAATTTACCCGAAGAATACAACTTCTCAGATTCAAAAAGACATATGTACTCCTATGTTTATTGCAGCACTTTTTACAATAGCCAAGATATGGAAGCAACCTAAGTGTCCATCAGTAGATGAATGGATAAAGAAGATGTGGTACATACACACAATGGAATACTATTCAGCCATAAGAAAGAAACAAATCCTACAATTTGCAACAGCATGGATACAGCTGGAGGACATTATGCTCAGTGAAATAAGCCAGGCAGAGAAAGACAAGTGCCAAATGATTTCCCTCACTTGTGGAGTATAACAATGAAGCAAAACTGAAGGAACAAAATAGCAGCGGACTCAGAGACTCCAAGAATGAACTAGTGGTTACCAGAGGGGAGGGGTGTGGAGGGCGGGTGGTGAGGGAGGGAGAAGGGGACTGAGGGGTATTATGTTTAGTACACATGGTGTAGGGGATCACCGGGAACACAGTGTAGCACAGAGAAGGCACATAGTGAATCTGTGGCATCTTACTACACTGATGGACAGTGACTACATTGGGGTATGGGTGGGGACTTGATAATATGGGTAAATGTAGTAACCACATTGTTTTTACATGTGAAACCTTCATAAGAGTGTATATCAATAATACCTTAATAAAAAAATACAAAATATAAAAAAAACCCTGATCATGTCAAGGCGTGGCACGGATACAGGGCACAAGGAATTTTTATTTACTGCTGTGGGAATATAATTTGGAGGGAAATATTACCTAGTGAGGCTGAGACTCAGAATTTCAACTCATGGCTATCCTTGAGAAAAGTTTTGTATATGTTTAACACTGGAAGAAAAGTATAAAAATATTGATGGTAATACTGTCTATTATAGAAAAAAACTGGAAAAAGACCAGGAATACTAACAGTGGAATGTATAATTTGTGCGATATTCAAACAATAAATTCAATAGTGGAAATAACTTACAATTAAATCTATTAACATGAATTAATCTCAGAACCAAAGCTGAAAATATACATTCAGTAGGATTTTATTTACATAAAGATCAATGGGCAAAAACTAAACAATACATTACATTACTTAGAGATAAAAACGAGTATAAATCTACAAATTCAGGAAGAGTTTTACTTCTGGTGGGAAGAGAGAAGAATGTGAATGGAGAAAAGTACAAAGGGAGTTTCAAAATTTCTAATATTCTATTCCTTAAGCTAAGGCAGAGGGCAAGGGGAGGGGTCAATGAGTAGAGATAAAGGGAGCAATGAGCAAGACAGACTTTTTTCTTGTAAAGCAAAGAATTACCAGGAAGCAATGAGGAAGGCTCTGATAAGGGAGTCTAATGGGAAAAGATGGTACACATGACACTGAAATTACTAAAATTTCAGGATGGCATGGAGGAGCATGGGGGCCAAAGGTACAAAATAGAGTGAGACCTTTGGTGCTAAAATTACCCAAACTATAGTCACTAAGAAGTGGCAGTCCTTTACAAACAGTTTATTAGCTAGATGGTATCATCTACATTAGTATTTTATGAAAAGAGAGTAATTTCTGCCCAAAGGACCAAGATTAGCCTATTCCATTATTCTACTATAAAAGTTCAGAAGACATAAAAATGTATAGAAGACATTGATATACTAAAAAATGTAAAATTTTTTATTTTGCTCTGAGTATTTTAATAATACTCAGAGGTATTATTCTGGCTACCAAAAGATCCCTAGCAATTGACAGAAAAACGTGGTCTTACAATTACATGGGGAACCGACATAATGGAGAAACAGTCAGCCATTATCACTTAAAGAAGTATTTTCCAGACCTATTTCACTGTCCTAAAAAAAAAAATCTCATGAGACTTTTCCTTACAAAATGTTATAATGCCTCTCAGTATATTAAAAACCATTTAATTATATGTTGTGCTATATGATTAATATTGACTACTCTGGCAAGGGAGATCAATACATTATGTAAATACTATATTCTAAGGCAAAGGTATATTTTGCCAATTTCCAATGTTCAACTCAATCAGGATGCAGGCTATTCTAAGAAAACATATTCATTCAAATACAAAATGAGAAAATCTAAAATTATTATCCATGTCAAATTCATAATCACCATTTAGCTTTTCAGAGAACATTTATGTAAAAGGCTCTTTTTCCTCTCTTAAATGCTTGTTGCCTAGAGAAGAAAATAGATTTTGTACTTTGTACTTCACATATTTTTAGGGATCAGTATTTCCTCTAAATCAAAGAGGAAAACTGTAACAATTAGCAAGAAACAAAATCTGGTAAAGCTGTTTTACAGACCAGTGATTTCTAATATTCTGTTCTTGTATCAAGAATAGGAATAATAAAAACATTCACATTCTATGTCAATATTGACTTATGTTTCTTTCCTTTACTGAAAGCTTCAGTCACCTAGAAGAAAATATACTAATTTGTTCACTTTCTACCTTTTAAACAGCTTCCCTCTGTGCAATATCCATATCAAAGCACAAGTTTCAATCAGCTTAAAAAAAAAAAAAGACTCACTTTGCCCATTTACTAAAATTTCAAATTAGCCTCAATCCAAGGCCTTAAAACAACTCAGTAATTGAGAGAAAAATACAGCATCTTTATAATAAAGCCATACATGTAAGAAATTGAAAATTAACTGGTAACTCTCAATAATCAATAGGAAGGACCAGAATTACCTTGAAGAAATTAAAAACCGGTATTTTAATTAATACCAATTCCATTTTGGTCAATTAGGATCTAAAAATTAGATTAATTCTGTTTGTATTCTGACCCTGTCCTCCCTTCTACTTTAGTAGTACTAAAGCCAAAAGGTGAAAAGAGGGCAAGATAATTCACAAATAAGTGAATCCATAGTCACTATATTTGGCTCTTCTTATCATAGCACAAAATTCTGGGTTTAAATAAAAGTATCTTGTTTCTGATACAAAAAGAAAAATACTGTAACATGTCAGTTATTAACAATACTATATCATTCAGAGAATACTCTTCTAGCTATCTCAATTTTCAGATGATCTGGTTAAATAAGGTACATTGTTAAAATAATCTCAACCAGAAAATAATTTTGCTTACAACCACCAGGGATAACTTTTCTTAAATGTATTTATTTATATTTCTACCTGTTAGTAAATAGATCTTACTGAATGAATCATTCTTTGATAAGTGAGAATTTAGCATGTTACTGGCTCAATATTCTATCATATTAATCAATAATCACATTCTACTTGTCTGGAAAACCTGTATTACTTAAAAATACAGCAAAAAAGGTAGCAGAGCAGCCAGAAGAGATGTCTAAACATTAGTTCATAGAAGAATAGGTTATTGAAAGACTTCAATTAGTCCCTATTTTATCTTGCTTTGATACAATTCCAAGGTACATATATTTATTAACATTACAGTGGAGACACTAGGCAGATACCAACTTAACCAATTGATCAAAATTATCAACAACTGTCATGCACAAATTGACTTTGTGTGCCTCCTAATGAGATGCTCTAAGTAGAACACATTATCACTTCTGTGGTACTCCTGCCAAAAAATACATAATCTGAATTTAACAAGGAGGAAACTTCAAACAAATCAAACTGAGAGATAGTCTACTGAGTAACTAGAAAATATATTTTTTTAAAACCTGTAAGATCATAAAAGAGAAGGAAGGACTGAGGAATAGTTCCAAACTAAAGGAATCTAAAGAGACAACTAAATACAACACATGGTCATAGATTGGATCTGGGATTTATAAGGGACATTAATGAGAACAACAGTGAAATGTGAATGGAAGTATATGGATTAGATGCTAACACTGAATAAATGCTAACTTCCTGATTTCTATAGTTGTATTGTGGTTATGTAGGAGAGTCCTAGTATTTAGGAAATACCACAAGTAATGAGATATCATGAATGCAACTTATACTCAAATGGTTAAAAATGTCAACTATGATGGAACTGAGTAAAAGTACACTGAAGCTGTGTAGCTGTGTGTACTATTTCTGCAACTTGTGTAAATCTGAATATTGATATTTTTTCATGAACAATGTTTTGTTGTATGATGTAATATAGCTACTTTTCTGAAACTAGATTCCTAGATTCCCACTTGCGCAGTTCTGCCATACTAGTGCAGCAATTCACACAGTTGTAATATACACAAATTAGTCATATAACTAAATATCCTAAATTATCTAAAGACAGAAAACACTAATATATAGGAGTCACAAACATAATAAAATTAAGTCAACTATTAAAGCAAATTCACAGATGTACCTGCATGCCATAGCAAATTCCAAGAACAGGCTTGCCAAGAGTGAATATTGCTGGATCAAACCAGGGAGCATCTTCTGCATACACAGAATTGGGTCCTCCAGAGATGATAATAGCTCTGCAGATTTAAGAATGAGAGTCAGTGAAGAATCTCTAACTGCTAATCATTATACAAAGTCTATCCCCTTTCTCCCTTTTAGCACTGAGGAAGACTCAATACAGATTCAGAGATTTTGTTCTAATTTTGGTAGGCTGGAGCAGATCCAGATTCTATCATAGCTAATTAATATCCTCTTACAAAACTTAGTTGTTTTTATTCTATTGCAGTGTGTGGAAGTCTATCAATTCAACAGTCACTTGTTAACAAGCAGAAACTTCAAATATATAAATACCAATGTTTCTATCTGTGGTAAGCATGAATTTGTTTTCATTGTTTTCCTCATCAATGGAGGAAATAAATGAGAATTCTAAAAGGAGATAGAGAAAATATAATCCTTCTGGAAGGCAAGGAGCAAAGCAGGTCACAGAAGGACAACTGAAGGTATTATGATGGTCCTGAATGACTCAAAACAGAACACTACAACAAGTGACAGCAAAATATGAAGAATTACCTAACTTTGTCTGTTTAAAACCTATCCAACATTCCCAACAGCTTTACCTGATACCCAAGAAAGGGGGCTAATAAATGAATTTTGCCAAATGTCCTGCTCTCAGAACCCAGGTAAACACTGTCACTTAGCTACATTACAACTTAGAGGATTCTATGTGTTAACTTGGGAGTTGAACTAACATAAAGGAAGCTGCAAACTAAAGTCTATGCTCCTCACCTAGACACTGACACATCTAATTTGGCCCTCAGCATTCACTCAAAAAAAGTTAGGATATTTTAGTGTTATGAATTTCACATAAAAATTCAGATTTCTAGATTCTCTTTAGGAAAAAAGAGAAGAAAATCTGGCAATACTGGGCCTTCACTGTTGCCTGGCTACAAATAACTGGAATAAGAGGGAGACTTGAACCTTCAGACTATGCATGCTTTCCAGTTTGCTACCAATGATCACTTAACAGTACAGGCATACTTATGCCCTAGACCCAATTTAAAGTACCCTCAAACTCATTTTAAGTTTGCTTTTGCAGATATCTTGCTTTATCTCTATTTCTAAGGGAAAATCCATTCCAAGATCTCACCAAAAGCTACTTAGAAATTTAGATTACAGTTCACTTTATAATTAATGGCTGTCTGTCACATACAATCTAAAGTTCTAGGCTTATAATACACCCAGAAGAATAATATAACAAACATCAAATTCACAAGAATTACTCAGAAACCTAAGGCATTTTTTTTAAATAACAATTTAAGTGAGTTCAAAAACGCCATTCTTTGAATTTTGTGCCAGGAACATGAATTATGGTATACATTATGTTTGTTAGCCTATCTCCTGTCAGATGATAAATCTGACATCTTTAAGATAACAATTCAAAGAGGTATGGCGCTAAGCCCTAAGGGTAGATATGTAATGTAATTCCTTAAAATTGCATTAGCTAAAATTCTATAAAAATACTTAACAATAAAAGACCTCTAGAATTTCAGTATATACTTAGTTTTATGAAGGATAACCACCATGGAACTGATCAGCATTCTTCTTCATAATCTGCTAAACAACTCAAGGCTGTAAGATTAATACAATTAAAAAGAAAAGGCAAAGGACTTACTAGTTAAGGATAAAACTCAAGCAGTACTTAAAGCAATTATGAAAATTCTTATCTCAGTAAGTCTTGAGAAGAGCTAATCACTCATTCTGAGTCTTCTAGTCTACGCTGCTCTTATTTTGAAACTAACTTGCAATTCAAGGCTCAGTAAGCCACAAAGCATTCTAAGAAGAGATAGGTTAAGAAGCCTCTCATGCCATAAAACTAACATTTATTGGAGGAAAGGGTGTTCATATAGATGTCTTAGCAGAAAGAATGACAGTAAGAAAAACCACAGTGCTGTAGTGCCTGTTCTCCTATACAATAAAGAACCTCTAGGCACAAGCAGGATTGAGGAACTGTTTAGGATAAGGTGACAGAAAAAACAAATAG